CCAGTTCGGGAACTCCGGGATGCAGGGACTCTGAGCTCAGCAAGAGGACCCGGGACAAGTCCGGTCCGCTCCGGTCTTCCTGCCCTGGAGCCCGGTAATTCTGCAGACACCGCTGCCACCAGACCCTGGGGACAAAGTTTCTGAGGCTAAGATAAAGCGCCTCTGGCTTGTTATGATGTCCCGCTGGAGCCTGCGTCATCCACGCCGGCCTCTTGGGTGCTAGACGAAAGCGAAAGACCCGGAACAACTTCTGAGCTCTGAAGTTCAGAACGCACTTGAAGTCTCCTGGTGTGGAAAAATGACAGAGGAGGTCGAATTTAGGACAGTTTCTGGTTGAAGAAGAAACTAGACAGTCATATCTCCAGCTCTGGACGCACCGAGGTCTGATGGTGGGGGTGGGGGCTGTTTAGGATTTTGCAGCACTCCCTGCTAGATGTGGAGGGATTACGGATCTCATGAGCAATCTGTTATAAAAAATTCAAGTGAGGAGTCATGGGTGTTGAAACGCACTCTTTGGAATTCTAAATTCACTTGTCTTGCGCAACCTGCATCAGCTGCTGCCCTTAGGCAGGGCTGGCTGGCCAGGGAGACGGCTTCTGCTTTCAGGGTCAGACACAGCAGCCATCTTCCTGTGACCTAGACCTTTAGGGAAGCCGCACACCCAGTGAGTGTCAGCTGACCGATTGAGACACAGCAGCTAAAATAGATTGCAACCTAGGCACTTCCCCCAAATCCTCTGAGCGAGAAAAGTCAGAACTTGTGGGAACAGGTAGCAGGAATAAAGGATGGAAAGGTAAGGCTGCAGATCGGAAGAGGATGGAAGAAGGGATGCGGAGGGTTTGGGAAGGAAGCAATAGCTATGGCGCGCAGTCAAAGCGCAGCTAAAATCACTAAGCCTACAGAAAAGAAAGGCCAGCGAAATCCGCCCCCTCCCCCGCCACTGTCCGGCTTTCCCTCCCCCAGGGGTCTCTTTTCTGACTACCCGTGGAGGTGTCCAGTCCTAACACCACTCCTCTTCCCTCTACACCGGATTCTCCTTACCAAAGGGCGAGGCTGGAGGTGCCCTCTTCTAGTAGACGTCCCTTCCTGCACACTAGGTAGCGTGCCAAGAAAAGTTGAAATCCAAAGAATGTTTTGGATTCCCGTTTTTCTCAGTTATTTTCTTAGAGACTTCGCGGGTTACCCACAGACGCCTACGTCTGAAAATGTAGAGAAAACAAACCTGGGGCTTTCCCAGTTTAATTAAAATTTATTTAATTGGAGGTCAGAGGACAGTAGATTTCTTTCCTCCATGTGGGTTTTGGAGGATCAACCGCAAGTGGTCAAGCTTAGTGGCAAGCTCTTTCTTTGACCAGCTGAGCCATCTTGCTCTCTCTCCCCTCCAGTTACTTTTTAGAGAGCCTTTGGTAGGCAACGACATGAAAAGAAGTTTGTAAACTACTAAGTGAAAGAGCAAAAGAAAATAAGTTAAAAACAAAATAAGCTTTATTATATTATCATTACATTACTATTTAAAGTAGTATATTACCAGGTATATGTATTCATTCATTAATGTAGAGCATTAATATATTTCATAAAACATAGTAATAGAAATATAGATGTGTCCATTGTTTGCAAGTTTCCTATGCTGTAAATAATTACAAATGTTCCTTCTCTTAGATGTCTTTTGGCTCAACTGTGTACATATTTCATTTAAATATATATGACTAGGAGTAGAAGTGCTAGACGATGTATATATTCAGCCTTAATATTAATTGCCTGTGTTCAAGAATTGCACCAATTTGCTGTATTTATTGCATTTTATGGTATGTAATGCACGTATGTCAATATATCACTAATATATAAACGAAATGGGAGAAAATTTTTCTTTGCAACTACAATCAAAAGAAAGTGGTATGAAGGAGGGGAACTTAGTCGTCCTCTTTTTCTTCTTTTCAATTTCTGCATTATTGAATCGCTTCCAGAGTTCCTTAAGAAATGATCTGTTTACTAAGCGTTGTTAAGTCTGTCTCCTGGGTTTTAGTTTCCTCCCCTCTAAAGGACTAAGGCTGAGCTTTGAGGTCAATTACAGCTATCTGAGTAGCAGACATGCCTCTATGTGATTTGCTGCTAATCTCTAAGGACAAACAAGCAGTGTAACATAAACCTGTCTCTTCAAACATGGGTGGGGTGCCTCAAGCAAGTGACAAGTAATGCTCCTGGCAAAGGGAGGTTCCCAAACAAGGAAAGGCATGAGTTCTGCTAGGCCTTCAGGGTCCTTCCTTGGAGCGCTGGCAATATTCAGGAAGGTAGTTCAAGTATATGCAATGCATGTATTTAGGAGGAACAGAGACTGGACACCAAGCTTAGAAGATTTGTCGGTGTTTCAGTAGTGAGGAAGGTAGATATTGAAGACTTGGCCTGAAGGTGGGGAAAGTGAGCCAACTGTAGACATTTGGCCAGAGAGATATTGAAGATGGGGCATCTGATAATATAATAAAAGCTTTGTTCCCTTCATCACTTCTTCAGGTGTTTTTTTTTTTTTTCCCTTCTGAGGCAACAATTCTTCTCATACCATTGCCTTCTAATCCTGCAGCTTCAGTCTATGTGAGCTGGCTGGGAGTGTAAGAAATGTGTGGCAGTACCATTCCACAAGACAACAGGTGATAACAGAGCACACACCATCATCACCCTTAGAGTCCCCACCAGGAAGTGTAGTAGTGTTCTTTGGGACGCATGGTTGCATTGCCCGCATGAAGGTAGTGGGTCTGTGTCATGTGTGGACACTCCTGCCAGGTTGTCAGCATCACAAAGCTAATCCACCAAACAGGGCGGAGTCTCATTGCTTCCCTCCCGGAAGATCATTTGATATGAAAGGGGGCTTTTCCACTTGATAGAACTTTCACTGATGCATTAAATGCTCCCCTCCTTAAGCCAGTGCATTGAATGTTAAAGACAGTTCCTAAGCAATCCCACCCATTTACAATATAACACCATTGTTGCAACCCAGATTTTCAAAGCTTCAAGATTCAGAAAGGTCTCCTTACTTCTCCACATGCATCCTCTCGGGTAACCCCGTAGATTTACAATATAATAGTATCTATGTACTATACTGATGATCACTACCTGGCAATGATTTTTCAACATTACAATGATGCTTTAAAAATTCCATATTTGGCCAGGTGGTGGTAGCGTACGCCTTTAATCCCAGCACTTGGGAGGCAGAAGCAGGTGGATCTCTGAGTTTGAGGCCAGCTTAGTCTACAGAGCAAGTTCCAGGACAAACTAAAAAGCTACAGAGAATCCCTGTCTAAAAACAAGCAAACAAACAAAAAACAAAACAAAAAGAAGTATTTGGTAGAAACTTAAAACTTGAATTTTAACTTTTGACTTTTCCAGGGCTGGTGAAAAGTCTTGTACAATGCTGGGTAACTGCAACAGGCTAGCTGTGTTGTCATAAGAACAGACAATCATTTCTGGGTTTCTGCATTGCCAGCACATGTTGGATCCAGGTAGTCAGTATTTTGTAGGAGGGACTGAATAAGGCCTTACATGAGATGACTTAACAGTAGGCTAAATGTCAGTGTCCTGAGAACGCTTTGGGTACGCGAACTAATAGGTATGGTAGATAAATAAGATCCATGGTTTCCTTATCAGGCTTTCGTTTTCAGTGGGGTCTAGGACAGGTGTACATGGTGACAGCGCTCACTTTGTACCTCCAGCCTGTGCTTCTCCAGATAGCCAAACGCTCTGATTGGATATCAGCCTTCTCTTCAGCCTTCTCCTGAGCCTCTAGAGCACAGTGTGTTCTAACGTGCACCAAAACTTACCTTCTTGCTCACTTTCCAGTTCCACCATGTTTCCAAGAGACGGGGCAAAGGCTCAAGAGTCATTCTTGATCCTTTATGCAGCCACACTTCACATAAAGTCTTACCAGCTCACTTTCAAAATTGATCTAAACCCCTGCAACTTCCCATCTGACTAGCTACTGCCATCGAACTTGAAACATGAGGATTTCTTGCCAGAGACCCCTTCATCCTCAGAACCTAAGTAATTTGACTTTTGTGACCACGACTCATGATGCCACAAAGGCATCTTCCTCAGCCCCTGTCACCTCCCTGATGCCATCTTCTGAGCCATCCTCTACCATGACTGCTCCATTTTCTCCTTGCCTCTCTGCTGCTCCTCGAGTACTGTCAGAGTTCTTCCTGTGTGTTAAATCTCACTCTGGACTTCTCATGTATATTCCCATGCTTGATTTTTCTCATCTCTGGGCCTTTGACTGTACGACCTCAGAAGTACAGCCTTGGATGGTTGCGCCACATGGAACTGTGTGCTCGGCCGCTTTCTCTTGCCTGTTTCTTTGTGCTGCTGATCACTGGTTGGCCCTACATTTCTATTCAATTTGTCTATTGCTTGCTTATCTTTCCCCCTAGAATCTAAATTCCCTGAGAGAAAAACCTTTGTCTTATTCAGCCCAGTAAGAAAAGCATTTAGCCAAAATGTTTCATGTTTGAAAAAATAATGTATTTCTGATGAGAACATAGAAGGGTCACCTTCTAAAACAAAATTTTATTTGGAGTATTTTTTATGAAAGAAACTTCCACAAATCTCTCGTTCTCAGGCTCTCTCCCATGCTCGCTCCCCTGCTCTTGCTCACTCTCTCACTGCCTACTTATCTGTATATTTTAAAATTTCTGGGAAAAATTGGCTGTCTGCTTAGAAATAATTAAATAATCTGGGTGTAGTGGCACACACCCCTAGGTCTGGTACTTTGGCCATGGAGATCAGATCCGTGGATCAAGAGTTCAGAGCCACTGTCATCTGCATAGGAAATCTGAAGCTGGCCTGGGATTCCTTGAGACTCTAACTCGAAAGAGAGAGAGAGAGAGAGAGAGAGAGAGAGAGAGAGAGAGAGAGAGCAAATGTCTGTGTGTTAGAAACTGCAAAGATAGTTACAGAACTCATAAAACTGGGAATGTAAGGATGTTTATACGAATCCAATGAAATTCTGAGAACTCTTAACATTTTACATTTTATTAAAAATTAAATGATTAAAATTACTGAACAATCATCCATCATTATAAGAAAGCAATGATAATAAAAATATACTGAAATGACTTATGGCGTTAAAAGTGAACCTCGCAATTAGTAACGAAACTTCATCCTAGTTCAGAGTAACACAAACATAAAGATCCGTGCTCCTTTTATATTCTTTATTAATCTAGCCGGTTTCCACAGAATAGTATAATTTCTTGACTTATTTTTAAATTCTTTCACCCTTTCTTTGGTTTGGAATAAATTAAAGGTATTTTAATTCATGGAGTCACTAACCCGCCTTTGAAATTTTTTTCCTCAGGAGTGATTTCCTGTTTTCAATTTTTATCAGAGAGAGCCTAAGTTAAGACTCACTTATGGAAGAAGAATTTTGTAGAAGCTCTCCCCTGACTTTTCCTTTGCAGTCTAAACAGTACCGTCCTCACACAAGCATCATTTACTAACTTACATATCTCATTTCACCCATAAACAAAATACCCTTAACACAGGCATGAAATAAGTTCCAGGAGAAGGTTGCTCTTAGAATCTGTAAGGCCGCTGAGTCTAGACACCCTCTAGCAGTGCCTTTGCTCCTCAATTAAACGCCTGGAAGATAAAAGCTGTCCCTGGTTCTCTTTGTCCTTGCTGATATAGATAATACATTTCCAACTTCAAACCTCTGAAGACAAACACTGGTGGGGGGGGCACTATTCAATGGCTTCCATGGCTCTAAGATAGTAATTTATCTCAGACTCGTCATCTTATTAGATGCCCTATTAGCTACCTCCCTTTGTAAACCTTGGGCTGAGAGAGAAACGGTTGGATGGCATCGAGGAATTCACAGGAAGTGGACGGTGAGAGAGCAGAGTGGATGGTTTCCCTACCGGCAATGATGGAGCACAGAGCAGCCAGCCAGGAGCCTGGAGGGCAGGACTCCAGCCACTCATCCGTCCAGAAACCCCTCTGTGTAAAGAACGGTTGCATTAAGACTGATATTTTCTCCAAAGAGCCTCCAGAGCTTATGGTGAGAAATGGGTCACATAATTCTTGAAATGCTTTGGTCTGTTTGCAGTGAGAAACTGAACGTCTGGCACACTCCCTTGGCGGAGGAGGTGGCGCTCAGCGTGCCCATCTGAAAGGAAGGCTCAATATAGACACTTGACTGGTGTTCGTTCTCTCTCCTGCTGCAGTAAATAAGTGGAGGGAGTGAAGGGGACACCAAAGTCACTTCTGCTTGGCCGTTCGATGTAAAGAGCAGATCCAGCTCTATACAGATGGGCCAGCTTCCAAACATCTCTAAGTAGACAATGGTCCCCGCTTCTTACAGCCAATGTGCTGAAACCATTTATCATATTTGCATGGTATATGCATACATACATGTGTATGCATGTAAGATTTATTTTAGGTAGAGAGATTTATGTGGATGCAGTGTAAATATCTAATTTAAAAAGAGATTATGCTGATTTGGAATGCACGTATATGAAAATGAGCCAGGATTAGATACCAGAAAGGGGCCTTGCCAGTAGTCAAGAGGGACATATGGTCTGAAGACTACAAAGTGGGGAATGGGCAGAGGGTGGGGGAACTGCTGCTTTCAGCAAGGGCTCAGGGAGGCTCTGTTGAAGAGGTGACGGCAGAGCAAAGGCTAGGTTGGAAGGAAGCAAGGATGCTGCTGCCCCAATTCCCCCAGCCCAGGTGTCAAACACGCCAATGGAAATGTTAATGTCAGGACTGTGTGCAAACGATTTTGATTTCGCTTATATTCAGCTTTAAATAAGGGATACTTTTAAATGCACCCTCTAAATTTGACTCAGAAAACTAGTTTACCATAGTGTTTTAACACAATTGACTTGCAAGACGTTTCTCAACTACTCGCAACTAATCACGTGGTAACAAAGTATCACGTGGTAACAAAGTTGCGAGAAATCTTGTCAATCACGAAACCCATCACTTCATACATTGCATATGCAGTAATTATTTTTAAAGTCAGCATGATGAGCAGGAGAACAAGACTATTTTTTCAAATGGACAAATAGTCTCAAATATGACTGCTATTTAGTTTTGACAGCATCATTAAGAGAATGAGACCAAGATGTTACACAATGGCATATTCTTACAGAACGCACCCACATGATCTTTGTGTGAACACCAGCTGTAAGTACAAGCGATGAAGAAAGAGAATCTGGGGACAAACTAGGGTCTTCTGAGCAGAGCTCTGGAGTCCAAGGAGCCTCAGGCAAGCTTCCCATCAGGCTTAGGGAGCTCACCTTTTACTCTCTGTACAAAGGCAAGTGTTCACAACCAAGTTACTTATTCGCTTGTGTTTCTCTCCGGTTCCCTACCATCTCTGGCTGTCGGACAGAGAGGTGAGTAGATGCACCAGGTAATACTTGTTCCTCGACTTTTCCAGTGACAAATGATGTGGCCAAGGCTTCATACATTCTAGCAAGTCCATAATTCCGGAGCAGTGATATCATGATGCCACTGGGAACCTCTTTCTTGAAGTCAGAGTTGTCCTCTGATAAGATTTAGGTAGATACTGAGAACCTGAAACACAAGACACACGGGCCTTAAAAGATTAAAATTCAGTCTCCTGAGATTATTCTGTCTGCTCCATGCAGAACATATTTTGAGCAATAAAAACATTATATCTAATGTCAAATTTACATAAACTACAAAGTAGTTACATGCAAACACCATCGTGTAGAATCTTGAATAAAGAGAAGGCATTCCCCACCCCACCCTGCAGCAAAACCCAGGACCTGGGATGCATTCTCCCATAGCTGAAGGATTTACAAAACCTTCTCTGCAGAAGTCTGTCTAAGGCCCAGGATGATGAGAATGAAGGTATCTCTGAACCACGGAGCCAATCATGAAAGAAACGCCCCCATTATTGGAGACAATCATCTCTATTTTCTTTTCTTACCACAGATCAAACAGAAAGCTAAGACAGTAGTTACTGGTGCTCTGTGTTCTGGAAATAGAGCAAGTCACATGCCTGCTTGCCAGATAAAAAGAAAAGAAACCCTTAGAAGTACAGGAACATGGTCCCGAGGACCCTTTAGGTACATCTGTGAAAATGCCGAAAACCTCTAAGTGCCAATCACAATAATTACCCTAAACATCAATAAGAGAATATACTGACCTAATGTTTGAAAGATTAGGTGTTCGTATTTAAAGCCAACCCAGAGCCCAGCTCTCCCTTCATCTCAACCTCTCTGTACCTAACAACCGAGGAGACATGTCAACTGCACAAGGTGCAGAGGTCACCTCCAAAGAGAGCTCAGCAGATCCTCTCAGTCCTGTCTTCCTCACCACCAGGACTAGCACCATCTGCTCAATGTCATGGCCAGCCTTCATGCTCCTCTCATGCCCCAGGTGATGTCCATCTTCCTGGGACTCTTACCTGGGACTATTGAGAGAGGCAATCCTGCTCATCTCTCTCATGGCCTTTTCCGTCTTCCCCATTAGACTAACTGCTTCTTAAAACACGGGCTAAAATATGTTCAATTAAAAATTGGGTTGTTTTCTGTTGTTGTTAAGTGTGATTGACTCTAGTACTTAGGAGGCAGAGAGAGGTGGATCTCTATGAGTCTGAGGCTAGCCATGTCTACATAGTGACATGGACTATGTAGACTAGCCATGTCTACATAGTGACATAGCCAGGACTGCATAATGAGACTGGGGGGGGGGGTGGGGTATGGGTGTGTGTGTGTGTGTTGTGGGTGTGAGAGAGAGAGAGGGAGAGAGAGAGAGGGAGAGAGAGAGAGGTATGTGTCCTTGCATGTACCACAGTAGACTTACAGAGGCCAGGGGACAACTTGGGAATTGATTCTCTCCTTTCACCATGAATTCCTGGAATTATACTCAAATCATCTGGCTTGCTTAGAAAGAAGCACATACACTTTGAGCCATCTTATCCATCTTGATTTCTTTTGTTCCCCACTAGTGTTGGGGCCAAGCGCATACCACAAGCCAGTAAAGACTCTGTCCCCCGACCTATGCTCGATGCTTGATACCAGCCTTTATTCCTGACACACACTATGTCCTTGATACATCATTATTTAATCTTAAACATGGAGAACTACTTCCCCCCACACCATCCAAATTATGTTAAAAGCAGTAACCATAGGGCTCCTCAGCTAACATTAGGATCCGAGTTTGGATTCCATTACAAACAGAAAATTCCAGACATGGTGGCACATGCCTGTAACCCCAGATCTGGGAAAGTAGAGAAAGATGGGGCTTGCCGGTCAGCCACTCTTGCTGATTGGTGAGGTCCAAATTTAGCAAGAGACCTATCTCAAAAAGTAAGATGGAACTGGGTCTGGCGGTAAAAACCTTTAATCTCAGAACTTGGGAGGCAGAGGTTCATAGATCTCTGCAAGTCTGAGACCAGCCTGGTCTACACAGCAAGTTCCAGCCAAGGCTTAAAAAAATGAATGAAGGGGTGATTGAGGAGAATAACTGACAGCCTGCACATGTACCACACACACACACTCACACACACACACACACTCACACACACACTCACACACACACTTACACACACACTCACACACACACTCACACACAGTCACACATACACACACATATACATACTCACACATACACACATGCACTCACACATACACACACATACACACATACACAATCACACACACACACTCACACATATACACACTCAGACACACATACACACTCACACATACACACATACACACTCACACATACACACATACACACTCACACATATACACACATGCACAAACACACAAACACATCATGAAACATGGCTGCCCTTAAGTGCATAAGTGCTTTCATCACTACTGATGTCAATGAATACTACCAGGGAGAATAAAAAGCTATTAAACAACAGAACACCATAAGTTTAAGGATCTGACACATCTATGGGCACAGTGTACCTGTGCTCATGGCATCAGGAAGGATGAGACAGGAGGTTCGTAAAAATTCAAGACTAGCCTGGGCTACGTAGCATGACTTTCTCAAAAGCAAGCTTCAGGGTATAGATAAGTGATAGCCTCTGTCTTACGCACAAAGAACTCTGGGTTTGTCCCCTAACTAACAAAAATTCTGAAATCTGTGACGTAAGGAAGGCTGATACAAAGCAGTATTAAATGTGTTAATACAACGCTACCCTAATTTAATTTTAGAATGATAACTTATAAGTTTCTTTTCAAACAATACATTTCCTTCACATTTCAGTTTTCCCTAACACAAATGGTTTATAATTCTGAGCAAACAGGGCATGTCTAGCAACTATTATTTCCCGTTTCATGAAGTAAACAGAGACCTCACCCAGAGAGGTTGGGACGTGCCTGAGCTTACAGATCTGTGCATCACACGCTATACTTCCTCCATGGACAGAAATAGGATAACACTTTAAAAATCAAAACATCACTGGTGCTATCCCCACTAGAACCCTCCTCGGCCACTAGCACAGTAGGCCCAGAATAAGTACTTTGATGTAAAACCCTCTACTACAAAACATTTAATAAGCTTCTATTAATTTTTTTTCAAGCACTGTCACTTTAGATTTCCAGGGAGGATCCAGAATAAGGGTTTAATTTAGAAGCAATGAAAACACAATAGGAGAAAGAGACTGCAACCCCTCCAAAGGCAGTCTTGGTTCTAGGAGAGTGAGGTCCCGGTTAATTAAAAGCATATGTCCCATTGCCACTTGGCACTCAGCAGCTGGTAGGTAGGTGACGATTTGGTGCAGTGTCTGAGGTCAAGCCAACCATGGACCACATGCATCTGCTCGTCCTTCCTACGTGGTCAAAGCAGCGACATTGAGGTAGGTAGATAATCTTCAATTTCATTTTCTGACATATTTAAATAGCACCACCGTTTGTTCTCTCTCCCTCTCTCTCTCTCCCTCTCTCTCCTCACCCTCTTTTTCTTTGACACCCTCACTATGTAGCCCAGAGTGACCTCCATCTTTCCAACCCCCTCCCTCAGCCTCTTGATCACTGAGATGGCCAACGTATGCCCCCACACCCATCGTATACCATTGTCTTTACGTGGGAAAGACGCCTACCTGTCAAAATACTCTGACCTGTCCAAGTGTGAGTAACAAATTCCATGGGAGTCAGGGAGCCTTTTCTTGGTGTGTCTGACTGTGAGGAGAAAAAGAAAAATGGGGTGAGCTGTACTGTTTTCAGTTTTTATTTAAAGTTGAAATCAGAGACAACACAGAACCTACCCGGAATGTATGTGTGGTACTGGGCCTTGAAAGTTGTTCCAGGACAATCGTTCTTTCTCGAAGGGGTGACCGTTCGACGCTCTCAGGCATTGCACTGAGCACACGGTTTTGTGGATGCCTTCCCCTGTACTGAATGGAAGATAATATGTTCTTTAAAAGAACAAACACAAAGAAATGTTTACGCTAACCAGCTAAGCTTCCTGCTAAGTTCCGTGCTTGCTCTGCTGTAGCCTGGTATAATAGCTTAAGGGCTCCATATCACTTTAAAATGGTAATTTCTCAACCTGCCGGGAAGAGCCCAGGTGCCAAGGTCCATCTACCCTGTCTGACACTGCCTTGCACCCTGGACCACCTGCCTGCGGAGAAGCTCTCACAGGCGCCAGTTTCCCCAGCCCCCTCTAGGTGGGAGGAGTTTTTCTTTACTGGGGCAAAAGGGTATATTAACCCCAGATTAAGCTGAATAAATTGGGCATTCTCTTCTTGAGGATGACTTGAAAACTCTGTCTGTGTGTGTGCGTCTGTGTTTCAACCCCTAGGACAATATAGAACTCGTGGGAGGTGGGTGGTGATGCTGACCCCGTGGCGTGGAGCGACCCCCACAATTCAGTTTCTAGAAGCAGATGATGAAGGCATGTTAAACACAGCTAACTAGATCACATTCAGTCGGACTGACTTCCCTGAGTGCCAAGATTGTTTTCCCACAGACTGTCTAAATAGCTGCAATTATAGTAGAACTCATCTTACAGAAACAGGGCGGGATCCGGAAGCTCCTGTATTCTGCTCCCCAGCCTCGGAGCCTATCGGGGGTAACCGGTTCCGGGAGGTTGGAACTGCTGAGGAGGGCAGGTGGTCAAGGCCAGTTTGCCTGTAAAACACAGCAGCATACAAGTGAACACCGGAGGACACAGAAGAGAAGGCGACAGTCGGTGCTAATGATGGCAGCTGCTTCCAATAACAGTGCTTAGGACTGCAAGCTGCATTTCAGGCAGAGAAACATGAAGCCAGGGCAAGCAATGCCACTCACGTTGACCATGTTCAGCAGTGCATGTTGGGCTGCATCCATTGAGTGCACTGCCACGCTAGGAAGTGTGCAGACTCTCCGTGTCCAGGAGAGAGCCTCCCGGAGGATCTGACAAGCTAATGACAATGCAGGTGAGAGGCACGCAACCCTGCAGCATGATCCAACATATAATAAGGTGCTACGGTATAGATCCTGGATATGAGTCTATTATATCAATCCTGAATAGTAATCTATTAATAAGAGAGATGTGTGGAGTGGAACAATCAGTGAAGAATACAATTAATTATAAAAGCACAGAGATTAAGTGAGGACAACTGTTAAGCTTGGTGAAGACGCTAAAATGCGACGTGGAAATAGTGAGCAAACGTTCGTCGGGAGAACGACAGCCACCAGGAAGAACCAAGACCCATTTTGTGCATTCTTCATTGATTTAATTTTGTGATGTTAATTAGATACTTTTGAATTTCACATACGACTGCAAAGTTTATTTTTTTGTAGTTTGAGAAAAAGATATCCTAATTAAAATAGTAATGACAGGAGAGTATCCCTATCAGATACCAGTATTCAAAATTCTGCCATTCTTTTCTCTCTCTCTCTCTCTCTCTCTCTCTCTATATATATATATATATATTAGAAACAACTTGAATTAATTTACTCACTAGTAATAAAATTATGAACCTTATAATATAGTAAATTTTTGACCAGTTGAGGCTACCGAGAGAGAGGTGGAGCTATAAGCAGGTGACTGTCCAGTTAGCGGAACTATAAACAGTCACAGCCATTCTAAGAAGCATCCTGGCAAAATATGACTATTATAACTATTCAGAGCCTTTGACCTGATAGTTAGGCTTCTAGGCAATTCCACTAGGAAGCAATTTAAAGATGTTCTTACTAAGAGTGACACAAAATATGTTCACTCTACCTCACAGTGATAATATAAACAACAAACGGGAAATTTCACTAATAGCAGATGCTTATTGAATAACCATATAGACACATGACTAATTTTTGGTCATTAAAATCACTCTTTCAAAAATTTGTGGTGGGGGAAATACAAATATTATAAGGTTGGATAAAAAATTATATTGATAAAGTGATGATTTATATGACGGATAATTGTAGTGTAGAGGAAAAAAGAATAGAGAGGAAAAAGTAAGAGCCTGCCTAAAATCGATAGGAAATTTGCCAATAGCTATAATTCAAGTGGTACTTGATTTGTATACTTTTTTAAAGATTTATTTTTATTAGTGTTTGTTTGTGTGTCTGCCACATGTGCGTGAGAGGGACCAGATGAAGGTGTCAGATCTCCCAGAGCTTGTGATACAGGAGCATGTGAGCTGCCCAACTTGGGGGCTGGAGACCGATCTCCAATCTTCTGGGAAAGCAACAAGTGCTCTTAGCTGCTGAGCCATCTCTCCAGTCTCTCTATTCATATTTTTTATGTTGCTGCTATATTCAACAATGTTTGGTACGTTTACAGAGTGTGGGTGGGTAGCGGTTCAATAAACGGGGAAGACCGGGGCTCAGGATATAGATTAGTGGTAGGGATTTTGAATGAGTCCCTGGATTCTATTTCCCAAATAACAGTGATAAAGAAAAGAAATAGAAAACTCTGATAGATACAAAGTATTGGCAGTAAGAGGATGCAAGCCTGGATGCTTATGGGTGAAGAGGTTCCAAAGCACAATGAGGGAAGAGAGAGGTAAATAATTACATGTAGTCAAAGGGAGATGTCTCCCCAAAGTGGGCAAAACCTGAACTCTTACACACAAAACACTGCAGGACATGTAGACATTCAGCTTATCTGTGGCATTTACATTCCATAGGGGGGCAATGAAGGGAAATTAATCATTTAAAAGGACTCATTAGAGACACCAGAAAGAATATCACTAGAAGCACCCATATCGAGAGAGAGGTCAAAGGAGAGAGATCATATAATGAAAGAGTCTAGACTTATTTCCGTAGGAAAGAGAAGTGGGTTTGGGTGAAAGTCAGAGGGTGGATCTCAGACTGGAGGAAGGGTGGAGCTAACAGTGTGCTTCTGACATCGGCATGGTATAGAGAAAGCATAGGAGGTGACCATTCTGAGAAAGGAGGAGGAGGGTGGATGTAGCTTAAGTAAATCAATACAGCCAACAGACCCAAATTGCCTCAAGCCGACACCAGAGAAGCTGAAAGCAATGCTTGCCGTGGGTTAAACAAAAATGCCCACAGACTCACATTTGTGACCACTTGGTGCCTAGTTGGTGGAATTGCTTGGGGATGATTAGTCGGAGTGGCCTTGCTGGAGGAGGTGTGTCGCTAGGGGTGAGCTCTGAGGTTTCAAAAGGCCACGGTATTCCTAGTTAGCTCCATCAATTTCTCTGTCTCCTGCTGCACTTACGGATCACATGTGCGCTCTCTGCCCCTGCTCCAGCTCCATGCCTGCCGGCCTGGCTGCTGCCATTCTTCCTGCCGTGATGATTATGGTCTCTAACCCTCTGGAGCCATGAACCCTAATAAATGCTTTCTTTTATAAGTGGCTTTGGTTATGGCAATGCTTCACAGCGACAGAAAAGGAACGAAGAAAGAAAGATGCCGTGGATGTTTCCTGAAAAGTTCAGCAACTGATTGACCCAGCTATGCCTCCAAGCACCTTGATCTTTGGCAGGAAAGATGGTTTCAGCTTCTTTCAGCCTGTTTCCTCGTATTTGATCTGAACATACATATAGGTTTATAGTACAGAATAATGACAGTTTACCTGGACGTTGATTAAAGGCAATAATAATAGACTAACAACTGTTATTGTTAAGATATTTCCTGACAAGTAAGCAGTCAAAAGGACGATCCTTGGAATTCTGTGATGAAGGAAGAAAGACAGAGCTTGCCTATTTGTCTCGAATGTTACTTCCTAAGTGAAAGCTTTTTGTTCTAAAGAAGTGAAAAACGCTGCTTTTAACCTTTTTAAAAACGAGGTTTTTTTTTTTTAATTTTACAAGTATGGGTGTTTGTCTGCTTGTATGTCAGTGTATTGCATGCAGGCAGTGCCCTTGGAGGTCAGAACACGGAGTGAGATCACGTGGGACTGAAGTCATAGTGGGTAAGCTGTAAATGAGCTACCATGTAGGAACCTGTGTCCTCTGGAAGAGCAGCCACTCTGAACCACTGGGACATGTCTCCAGACCCTGGCCCTTTATTTATTCATTTTTAAACATTTTATATAACCCCAGTGCAGCTGACTGATGGGCATACTTTGAGCAAGGCATCCTCAGGCCAGCCTGTCATTGTGTAAACAATGTAGACCTAAACGAGTAGTTCTGATGCCAGGAGTCAATGTAATCATAAGTGATCACTGTCATATGCTTGGTCTGTAATTGGCCGGAACATTAGTATCCAACGCATGACCACGTATCATTTTACCTAAACCTTTCCATAAAAAGAGGAAGTGGGAAGTACACTTGAATGCATTGGCACAGGAGCATCTTCCACCTGTAAGAATGGCCAAGATAAAAAACACTGATGACAACTTATGCTGGAGAGGATGTGGGGTAAAGGGAACACTCCTCCAAGACTAGTGGGAATGAAAACTGGGACAGCTGCTTTGGAACTCAGTATGGCAATTTCTCAGAAAATTATTAAACAACCTACCTCAAGACCCAGGATTACCACTGTTGGGTATATACCTAAAGGAAGCTCAATTATACTACAAAGACATGTGCTCAACTATATTCACAACAGTATTATTTGTCATAGCCAAAACCTGCAAACAACCTAAATGCCCCTCGACTGAAGAATGGATAAAGAAGATGTGGTACATTTACACAATGGGGTACTACACAGCAGAAAAAAAAATAATGGCATCTTGATATTTGCAGGCAAAGGATGGATCTAGAAAACATCATATTGAGTGAGGTAACCCAGACCCAGAAAGGCAAATAAAATTTGTCCTCACTCATAAGTGTCTTTTAGACATAAAGCAAAGAAAAATAAGTCTACAATTCATAATCCCAGAGAACCTAGACAACAAAGAAGACCCTAAGGGAGACATACATGGATCTAATCTACAAAGGAAGTAGAAAAAGATAAGATCTCCCATGGGGATCATGGGAGAGGGTAGAAGGAGGTGGAAGGGAGGGGAGCAGAGAAAAACATATAGCTTAACAAAAACAATAACAAACCAAGATGGGAGGGGAAAGTGCTTTGTAATTTGAAGCATTAATTATCAATTTTACAAAATCTCTAAATTAATCCAAGTTCAATCACCCTCAGTTTAATTTTCCTAGTTGCCTGAGCTTCCGGCATTTGCATAGGCTTTTACTCTAGTAGACAGCTACCCACACAGGTGGAACAAAATCAAGCAAATGAACTCTTTTAGGAAAACCGGTGTAAAATCTGATTGAGGACTCTTTTACCAGATTGACCAGTTTATCTACCCTGACTGACAAGCACCCCTGGCCCTTGTGGCCATCAGTCTACCAGAAAAGAAACAAGACTCACAGTTTGGTTCCTCTCAGAATTTCATCACTATAGACCGTGGGGGTTCTCAGTCTCTGTGGGTCTGAAGCAATTGAAGGTAGTCTCCTGTGAACTGGTGTTTTCTTGGCAGAAGTCTGCGGGCCCCGAGAGTCTGGGATGCGGCCCAGTCGGTGACGTGAAGATGTACCGATCCCTCCACCAGACGGTTTGTCATCCTGCTCATTCCTGGGGAAGAAAGGTCTAGTTAAGGACTCACAGCTAAGTTTCCTGATGACAGGAGACACACAGTAACAGAACACAGTCTCTGGAGAATATGTTGGAGGAAGGAACATTTCTATTGCTATGTCAATGAAGAAAGAGCAGGAAGAGCAAGATTGGTAATCTAATAATGGAACCCAAGAGATGAAGAATTCACAGCTATGATTCCCTTTCCTTGTCTCTTCTAAACTAATACACAACAGAGATTATTTTGCGGCTGATACTGGAATAATCTGTTTCTGCCCTTGCATGCTCGGTAATTCCTTCTTAATACTTACTGTGTTTTATCTGCAAAATAAGTGGGTCTCTGCTGAAGCGGTTTGGCTTGAATCGTCATTACACCACTCAAGTCACTGTAGAAGTTGCTGGAAAAGCGATGGGGCTGAGAAAACTGAAAACAGAATAGTAACATTAATCAATAGCCGGCCATTTTGTCAATGGATGCCTGTTGGAAATCCGCAGAGAACAAATGGCATCAATTAGCTAGGGAGAGGGAAAACGTAACAGTGGTAGCATTTTATAAGTAAATATAACTATGGATACCATCTTTATAAAATTCATATTGCTATGAAACAAAGCAAGGGATATCATATTGAATGTATCAGAGACCAAAAGCAATAGCAAGCAAGTAGCAACTTCAAAAGTTATTTCCAAACAGGAAAGGTAAAGAAGGGTTATCATAAAGGTCTTATGCTAGATAGCAGAGATAGACGAGCAGACACAGTTTCATACCGAACTACAAAATCCAATCAGGCCTATTTCTGTTCAGTCTCAGAAGGGTTTCAGTTTATGTACTCCAAGCCAGATGCCTGTTTCTCCTCTTTATTTATTTATTTTTTGTTGCTGTTGCTTTGGTTCTTTGTTTGTTTGTTTTTGGGTTTTTTTTCTTTCTCAGTTTAACAAATCATTTAGGCTTACACAACTTTGTAAAAGACATGAAATTTTTTTCTCTGAACCCCATAAAACTTATGACTTAAAGCAATTCAATCAGGTGGAATCAATAAATAGTATGTCATTATAACAGAAGCCAATACCAAGTGTCTACTTGATACACTAGTAAATTAAATGGCTTAACTTCATTAATTATTAGATCTTCCAACTGCACAGACGACAATGAGGTTTTGCAAGAAAGGGTCTCACGTTATGTCAGGCTCCAGACTTGCACCGTAGTGTAAAGCACAAACCCTTGGTCACTTTACAAGCAACTGTGCCACTTCTTCTTGTATATGAGTATGTGTGTATGGCAGGGGAGGGGTTAGGGTGTGTAGCTCACGCGCAAAAACTACACAGGATCCTTTTACTCCGCTCCCCAACACAGATGGGCTCAGTCAAGCATCATGTTCAGACTTCCTGGTGCCCTGAAGAAATCCCATGGACAAATCAATCGTCTCTAGCCTCACCTGCTACCCCATCTCTAAATAAAGATGAAACTATAGAGACCTGTGTTTAGGGCTTGTGTCCAGGGTCTGGGCAGTGGGCTTTCTCATATTCCTAGCCTGTGAGCCTGGGAACAATTCTTAGACCGGATATCCTTTTATTTATTTATTTATTTATTTATTTATTTATTATGTATACAATATTCTGTCTATGTGTATTCCTGCAGGCCAGAAGAGGGCACCAGACCTCATTACAGATGGTTGTGAGCCACCATGTGGTTGCTGGGAATTGAACTCAGGACCTTTGGAAGAGCAGGTAATACTCTTAACCACTGAGCCATCTCTCCAGCCCCTAGACCGGATATCCTTATCCTCAACACATATAGAGACTGATGTGTAGATGAGCTAACACTGGAAACAAGACCTCACACGCGTCTCTTAACTCCAAACCCCCCGAGTTTGCTTCAGTGCCCTGTGGTTTCCAGTTCTGTCATTTAAGCTCACAGTCCAAGTGCTGGTCTCAAGCACATCGTTTTTCACTGACACACAACTCTACCGGGTCTGAACTAGCCTAACCCAAACCCCACCTATCTCTTCACATTCCTGCTCAGGTGTCACCCCCAAAAAACCCAACCCTCCGTCTCTAATCAAGACACACAATTCTCTCCTCAAGTCTTTAATTTCCTTCCTCCTTCCCTTCCCCGCTTTCTTCTTTCCTTCCCTGTCCCTCACAGAATGTTTGGTATCTGACCCTGGGCTATAGTTTTGCTTCAATGTTAGTGACTAGTTTCATTCAACCATCTATCTTCCTCAGAATGTCTAATAGGGTACATGTACTGTAAATAGTATAAATATGGGGTACATGTAACATAAACAATGAGGATTCATGAACTCTATGAATAGTCATTGATATGTTTGTCACTTTAGTATAAGCGATGGGGATCACTTGTAACAGCTAAATATTTAGGGAAAAAGATTCTGTTTTTGATTTTTTTTTTTTGCTCTCCTAAAATGTAGAAAACAGTTCCATATCTCAAAAGAAAGCTTGGGTGTTCACTAAAATATGTTGTGGTTCTCTTAGACACCATGAAACAACCATATTACATTGTAATCTCATTAACAAATACACAAATACTTTACCAAAAAGCTATTTACTACCCTTTTGGGGCAACCTTTGCTGTCTTAAGTGATTTCTTTCCTGTTTAAGGCACCATCAAACAGTGATGTGAGCTCTCCAGTGTCCTCAGACACAGGCAGGGGTGAGGTTCATGAGAGAAAACACTGAAGAAAATGGCGATCTTCACACAGAGATGCAAAGGCATGAAATGAAGGAGCAGAGACACAGGCTGTCGGTACCTGGGGTGGATTAAAGTGGGAGGCCAAGGACGTGTGGAGAGTTTCAGAGCTTCGGGATGGGGGGACGCTGGAAACGTCAGTGCTGAGACGAGACACAAGTGTGTGTGGAGTCCTATTTTCTGCTGCTTTCGGTTTTCCTTGATGCTTTCTTTCGCCTGTGTTAACAGAAAAATCAACACGGGATGTATGTCCTGAGTAACCATGAGTTTACGCTACAGACGCTGATTGATTAAACAGCCCTGCGGTGGAGGCAAAGACTCAGTGGACAACCAGCGACTGTGATGATCGCATTGGTGATAGAAAAACAGATGATATAATGGGACAAAGATATATAATGGGAACAATGATGTCTCTTTTACGTGCTCAGAGATTGCTTGTGTAGAAGGCAGAATGGTCACTTCTTGTTTCAGTCATGTTGTGGGTCCAGCCCAAACACGAGGTTGGGAGAGAGCTGTAGTGGGATGGTCCAGGAGGCTAAATTCTGTAAATAAGTACCTGCGAGTGCTGATTCCCAGGTTTTCCTAATGAGACCTTCCAGTATGTCTACCACATTGATCCAAACGTGATCGAACACTTCTGCTGCCACAGCATCTCTGATACAGTCGTGAGGGGAGATGGGAGGAAGCCCGTGTCGATGCCACTTCCTGTCACGGAGTGTTGGGTTTTGTTCCAGATGCTCATCTCCACTAAGGAGGAAACCCACTCTCATTACTAGAATAGCCATGGTTAAGGATGAAGTAATTATCTACATGTTTTTAATCTATCATCTATCTACCTATCATCTATCTATTTACCTATCTATTATCTGTCTATTTATTATCTATCTACCTATTAGCTATCTATTTCTCTCTCTATCTATCTATCTATCCATCTATCTATGTATTATCTATCTTTTTGCCTATCTACCTATCTACCTACTTCTATATATCTATCACCATCTTTCCTGTATGACACGCTCCTTGTAAACATCCCATTGTTATTTTTAAAATACACAATTTTAATTTGTCAATTGAAAGTAAATAGAACTGGGAAAAACAAAACAGAGAATAAAAATGACAAATTCACTGATATTTTATTCTTTTTCTCTTAAATTGATTTTTTTTTAATTTCTACTCTGATCTTTGTTATTTCCTTAACTACCTGGAGGCTTGGCTTCTTCTATTTTTTCATGTGTGAAATTAGCTTACTGAAGGTCTCTCTTTATTGCTATGTCTTCTTACTGTCTGACTCTATAATGTGCATTGTGTGGGCATGTGTGCCACCGCATGTGTCCCATGGCATCTCTGTGGAAGTCAGAAGGCAGCTTAACAGGGGTAGGCTCTCTCCTTCCACTACAGGATCCAGGGATCAAGCTCAGTTCATTAGATTTGCACAGTGAACCCATCACCCAATGAGCCCTCTCATCAGCTCAGGCCCCTTATTTCTAAACACGGGCACTTAGTGTTACAACACCCTCTTTTCGAGCTGCTGTTCTTGGGGGCCATCAATTCTGCTGTGCTGTGTTCCCATCTCCATTTGTCTTGAGAAAGACTGACAATTCAGGAGTATCCATCTAATTTCTCTCCTGATGAATTTTTTGGCTTTCCTATCAGTTTCTACTATAAAGCCATTGGTGGTCAGCAAGGACCCTCACTGTGACTTCTTATTTTTGTTAGGACTTCCTTCAGTACCCAGTTACTTTTTAATGTATTGCTTTTCAATCATGAGGCAAATTTTGATGCTATGTCACTGTTGCTTAAAAGAAAATATTTATTTAGCATCAATATTGGAACTTCTTCCCTATCTCCCAGCAAGCTAAGTGTAAGGAACCTGAGTCCCAAGGCATGAGGTTCAATGTCTTGGCCACTGCCGCTGCCACTAGCATGCTAGACAAAACCCTGGCTTTCCATCTCACAGTGTCAAAAAGAAAGTAATGCCCTGCTCTAGCATTTGCATTCCCTGCCATGATCTAAAATCTTTGATATATGTCTTTCAAAAGAACAGAAATCTTTCATAAGTAACAAATGCACAAAATATTAAAAGCATATGGTGAATTGATACTATTGATATTATACTATGAAGTATGCCAAATAAAATTCAATTTACTCCTGTTTTCTGTCAAAAGCAAAATATTCTTCAATGCTTCCATCCATGTGGTACACCTCTTCTTTCAGGGATGAGCATGATGTGGGGTCAGTCAGCTCTGTGCCATCAGAATCTGTCAGGGTAGAGGCTGAGAGCGCCTCGGGGACTATCTGAGAGCCAGAGATACACAGCCTAGGAGCAAAAACACTCCACGTGAGAGTTTGTAAAACAAAAGGATATAACACTTGCACGACAGTGATAAACTTGTAAGTTATCTTCAAAGGCACACAATCTCTGAAACATCACCAAGTGTTTCATTTGACAAAACCATTTTCTGAATCTGTGGGTGCATGTGTTTCCATGTCTAGGCAAATAGATGTGGGTGTCTGTGTGTGTGTGTCTGTGTGTGTGTTTGAATGTGGAAGCCAGAGGACAATCTGGGGTCTTGGTTCAAGATAGATTCACCGTGTATGTTGATATAGGTTCTCTCATTAGCCTGGAGCCTGCCTTGAAGGATAGGCTGCCTGGCGGGTGAGCTCCAAGAATTCACGTGCCTCCACCTCCCTAGCACTGGAATTTCAGGTACCTACCACCACATCCAGCTTTCTTCTAAAACATTTAACCCCAGAGATGACAAAAACATTTAAAGGCTTCTTAAGATCCTAAACCAGTATATGTAGCTACTTCTCTTTGCAGTTATAAAGAGATGTGACAGCACAGCCTCCCGAGCATCATCGGCATCAACAGGAGTCATCAGAATATGGTAGTTACTGAAAGACAACACAATACAATCTTATTCTTCCACTGGTGCCTTGAAGCTTAGAACCCGTCACAATGAGGGGTTTGATTGTGCATGAGGTTGTAACATGAGGGGCCGGCTTGTTGAGGTTTCCGTCCTGCCCAGTACCCCACAGCCGGCAAATCCCAAAGAGAAATCACACACAGGACTCCATAAGGTTATAAACTGATTGGCCCATTAGGTCAGGCTTCTTGTTAACTCTTATAACTTATGTTACCCCATTATCCTTATCTACATTAGCACATGGCTCCGTACCTTTCTCAGCTGGGCAAGTTACATGTTGCCTCTTCGGTGGTCTGCGCAGGAGTGGCGAGGAACCTCCCTGCTTCCCAGAATTCTCCTGTTCTCATTGCATCACCTCTACTTCCTGTCTGGTTTTCCCACCTATACTGTCTGCCTGGCCAATCAGCGTTTTATTAAAATATGATTGACAGAATACAGACAATTCTCCCGCATCATGAGGTTACCTTTCAGGGTCTTTGAAACAAACGCTGACATTAACTCCCCTGTGTTTGTGTGTTTAATCCATGTATGTTTTGCATGTATGCACACACAAACACGTCTAAAGGCAAGCATCGATCTAGGATCAGAAGCATCTCATGAAAAACATTGTCCCCAACTATTCCAGATGTGCATGCAAATTAGTTGAAGCCAAGACTCATGGAAGAGTTAAACATGGGAAGAAGAACTATGATAAAGTTAACAAATATTTGGGGGTTAAGGTTTTGTGAGACAGAGTCTCAGGCAGCCTAGGCTTGCCCCAGGTTTGCCTCAAGTTTGCAAAGTGGCTGAAAATTCCCTGATCCTTCTGCTCAACCCCTCAAGTTCTCAGATCACATGTGTGCACTACCATGCTGGCTACAAATATGATGTGTGTGTGTGTGTGTGTGTGTGGGTGGGTGGGTGTGTGTGTGTGTGTTGGTGTGTGTGTGTGTGTGTAAACTTACTCTCTGACACTGCTGATGTGGTCAGAAACAGGAGGCAAAGGTTCGTGGGTAGCAGAACGAGGCAGGCTCCCCTGGAAGTGTCGAAAACCTTCATCACTGGGCGGAATGAGTTGTCTTCCTAACAGCCTGCAAAGGAAGAAAAGCTAAGAAGTTGAGGATTTTCTTTTCTCAGACAAAGGAAAAATGTTTCCTAATTCTAAACAGGATCCAATGCTGCTTCTGAAAGACACAAGGGGTGCGGTGGAGTGTGCACAGGGTCAAGAGAGCCACCATGGTGTTGGAGACAAAGCTCAGACTCGGAGAGGACAGAATGGCTCAGAGTCCAGACAGAGACTGTGAGCAGAGGTGCCCAGCTCCTTCACCACTTATTTCATTTATTGGTTGGTCAGGTGCAAATCAGAATCATACTTACCTCACCGGAGTGTGTGTCTGACCTAAGCGTCTAGGGCAAAGAAGGGCACAGAGAAACTTGCTGCAGGTGGTAATTCCAATAGACCCAGAAGATAAAAATACATATACATATGCCTTATATGTATCCCCGGCTGGTTTTCAACTCACAACGCCCCTGTCAACCTCCTAAACACCAGGATTATAGGCATTTATCACCTCATCTAGCTAAGACAATTTTTTAATCCCCTTGACAAGCTAATTAGAAGAGTCATGTTAGTATTCTAATTTATTCTCCTCAGCTCAGAGCTGGAGAACACTAAAACGGATTTCCTCCTAAGTAGCAAAGGAGGTTGAAGAAAGCAATGCCTCTGTTCCAACAAATCTACATTTTCCCATCTTGTTTATAAAAAATCATAATAAATGTCCCCGTGATATGAAAAAAAATAGAGACAGCAAGAATAGGACCGTCTAGCCTGTTTCTCAGCAAATGATCACCTGGTCCCTGGAGCATCACCATGACCACCCACCTCCCCTCCCCTGCGCTCATGGGCTCAGTGATGACAGATGCCTGCCACTCACACAGAGTGAATGCGGAGATGAAGGGTCCCTCCTCGGACTCTTGCACCTGCCATGGATATGACATCTTTCTGAGAGTGACCCAGATTTTCTTCTGCCAAATTAAAGGCATGTGACCCCGCCATTGACAAGGTTTCTTTGGGACCTGTTATAAAGGGTGTGACTTGTCGAGAAAGGACTGTGTTCCAGAGAAATACTCTGACTGGGTAAACGCGCTCAGTCACACTATGTTGGCTGAATAAACGGAATTGTGCACTGATCAAACCCCCATCCCAGCAGCCGTTTGTGGCCATTTCCATACCTGAGATGGAGGGATCTCGTTGCCCACTCGCTGCATTCGGCCAGAAGATTCTGGGTCTGGGGACTCACTTTCCCTTCGAATAGCATTTCCTCGACCTCCCAAAACAGCTGCCGGACTTTCTGAGCATTGACTTTGTCAAATTCCTGAAACAGAAGCATATATTCAAATGCCCCATTAGTTTGTGGCCACATTACCCTTGAAGGATTTGAACTCATCACTCCAATACCACCCCAAAAGTCAGAGAACATGGGCTTCATAGTCAGTATTTATAAACTGAAGACCACTGAAAGAGAAGGAGTAAATCAAGGTAAAACTGTGAACTCTGTAGCCAGATGGACCAGTGTACCAATGTTTACTTTCTGATCAGTGACATCCTATATTAAGCTTCTCATTCATTAACTGTTAAATAAAGATGAGGTTTGCAACATCAATTATGAGACTCATTTAAGAGTCCTCATAGACACAGATACACATCGTTACATAGCCATCCTCCCCGGGAATGGGATTGGGGGGAAGGACAAAGGAGACTAAGGATTCTGTAAATCTTAGCAAAACCAGAACAGTAGCTAAATAACTCACCTATCTGAGAATCCCACAGTCACAAAATACCCAAAGTTGAGTGAAAGTTGAGGGCTTGTTCCAGGTTAGAAGGCAAAAGTGAAATATTTGACTTGGTGGAGGGTACATGTGGGGTGTCAGGGTCCTTCTAACCATGGAGATATTTCACAGTCTTTGCTTTCCCAAACCTTCTCTTACTTGTGTTAGCTGTCAAGGTTTTATCTCAAGTTTCTAGCCACAAGTACAATGGCAGGCAGGGTTGTAGAATGGGGAAAACAAAATGAACAATAACTAAGACAATGGACTATGAACTAATCAGAAAATTTATTTTTCTCTATATTTTGACATTTTGATACTTTCACATATAACAGTATAAATGTGTATATATATATAATATCTATGATATATTTAATACTGATGAGATAAATGTAAATAGATTCTTTTTGAACATAGAAAAGGAATTCTTAGGGCAGGGAGGTAGCTCATTGTGTAAAGTGAGGGCCTGGCTTGGATCCTTAGCATGCAAGGGAAAGCTGGGTGTGGGAGCCTGTACCTGTAATTTCAGGCCAGGGGCAGGGTAGAGAGAGGCTGATCCCTGGGTTAATTCCAGGTTCAGTGAGAGACCCTGTCTAAGGGGAAAAAGACGCAGAGAATGATAGAAGATATTCAAAATTGACCTCTGACCTCTGAATGGGCATCACAGTTGAGTGTATAGCCACCAAACCACCCCTGACACACACACGAATAAATAAATTACTAGGTTATTCCCCCATAAACCATATCCACAGGTTATTGAAATTATAAAAAGACATACATCATCTCTCCAAGAAGAAACTGAGCTCCTCTCTGTGGACAATCCAGTGGTGGAACTCTGTGTGGAAGAGCCAGGCCATGAATTGTGGGCCTCCGTGGGCGTGCGGCTCCCACTGGATGAAAAGGATGAGGGGGACTCACTGCGGGAAGGAACACAGATGACAAACATGTGAGTTGGGAAGAGTGGACATCCGGCATGGGCTTGACTTCTCTAGGCTCATTTCCTCTTTGTTCTCGTAAATGTATTTGCCAAGTTCACAGCAAATGGTTTAACAGTGGTTTAACAATTGGTAATGTGACAATCCGTATTGTCAACTCCCTCCCCCATATTTATTATGCACGTTTTTGCCTGGGACACCAGCAGCATTTAAAATGATTACTTCTTACCTGGCATATTTGTCAATGGCTTTCTGTACGCTTCTGGTAAAATTTGTGGGGAGAGGATCTCTGCTCTTGGCGGAGCTGTGCTTCCTGAGTCCTTCCGAAAGCCCCCTTCTGAAAAGAAAAGAAGCCAAGGAAGTCGGACCAGGCTCCAGCATGATCACATGTGCCCTTCATTGACTTACGATGCCCCTGCTCGTAAGCCCCTCTCCCCTTGCCGCTGAGGCCTAGGAACTCCTTATTTTAATTTTTTCTTAGAATCAAGGGTTGTCAATAACCTTCATAAATATTTAAGTAATCTGAAAACATAGTTAACAGCTGTTTGCAGTGGAGTCAGAAAACACAAAGTTGCTGGAATCGTTGGCCGTACTTCTGTTCTTTTCCACTTGGCAAGTAGAATATGGGCTGGGTTGTTGTCTGGTATGTATTCTGCATCTTAAAGGGTTCTGAAATGTTAAAGTTGAATGGAAAATTAGAACATCTAAAATCTAAGTAAACTATTAAACCGACCTGGTACAGTTCGTGTTAATCATTAAATGCCTTCTCAGTGAACCTCCCAGAATATTTCTTCCTCCTCCTCAAAACATCGTCTGCATGTGTAGCAATGAACCACTTTTGCTTGTTAGTAGGAATCATGAATTTCCATAGAAATAAAACACATATTACCTGAAGATGGAGGAAGAAGACTCCAGCTTTCAGTGTTTGAGAGAAAGACACCACTCAGTGTGCTTTAGAAACAAAAGCTGGCTTTGCTTCTAATTAAAAATGGTACCAAACTTTTAACATTTGTATTTTTAATATACATGGAAAACACTCTGCCTTTCCCTACATACTTATCGTCTTTTTATCACAAAGGGGGCTCTCATACAAATTAACACTGTCTGCAGAGGCTAGTCAAAGACATCTACCTTCCACTGATTTTTTTTTTTTGCACAATGATTAACAGAATTGTGCTATTTTTCATTTCATCTACCTATATCTCATAGGTACAGTTAAATAATTTTCAGGCAAAGATGCTGAAGAGGAACAGAGAAAAGGACATAGCACAGTGCACGGTTTTACACTTTTCTTTAGTCTGGTGCTGCTGGACTTGAACCCAGAGACTCTGTATATGAGGCAGGTGCTCTGCCACTGAGCCATACCCGCTGTCCAGCTCTTGTGATAATAAGACACCTTTTTATTGGCCCTGCTCAGTTGTTTCTAAATCATCTTTAAAATCACTCACATTGTGATTCAACTCTTAGGTAATCATAGAAATTCTTACAAACCAGCTATTTCAAGATCAACCAATATTGCGTCATGTAGACGTATTTGGAGCCTTAAGGAGTGTAATTTAGATGTGAGCTAACACACCATCCAGAAACTTTAAAACTTTGGTGTCATGGATGACTTTAATGTCAGTCTTTCCCGACACCATCTTCACGGTGGACCAGTCGCTGACACATGACCTCAACACCCACTTCTGTAAACAGACAACACAGCAACCATCCTCCCTAGAAGGCTGTGGAGAAGATGGGAGTGACCTCACTGCAGGAGGGCTAATAGGAGCGCTTTCCAGGGAGCATAAGGTCCTAACATGGTGAATTCCAAACACAGTCACAAAGGGTCTTTGTTTCTTATATTATGTTATTATTATGTTTCTCTCTAGCCAAACGCTGATCTGTCATTCTGTGCATAGCTTAAGCAGCTTACTCCTCTGTAAACTGCCAACTTCTCCATAGTCTACTCAGCCTAAAAAACATGCAAACTTACGGGACATATCCTATGCTGTAACTATTTTAAAACCTATATCCCGTGCAATGTCTGCTATGATATCTAATATATAGACATTTGATGATCTTATGTTAGTTCTTTCCTGAAGCTTACGTTTTAGAGAGAGTAACAATTTTGTCATGTCTACATTTGAAATCAAGAGGTGGGCTCCCTCCGGGTGTACTGAATGGAACCACAATGCACTAACTAACTTAACGGGCACATCGAAGTTAGGGCTGAATAGCTAGCTCTTCAGTACTTCATCCAGAGATTTGACTTCCTCTTTTTTTTTTTTAATTATTATTATTTTTTTAAGGTTGATTTTTGATAACTTGCAAACTTGGGTAGAACTGTACTGTGAGAATTCAAATGTTAACAATCCTCACAGTCTTCAAAACACCATTTGAGGGGAGTGTTTGAAATAAGTATAATAAGTATAATCTCTACATCAAAATGCAGAATGGTGACGTTTTCAGTGTTTTTTTTTTTTTTTAATGCGGGGCAGAGTGTTTAGCACAGGGCCTCATGCCTGCTAAGCAAGCGCTCTACCCCACTAATTAAGGCCAACAAGGATCTGATTTTAGATTCTATAACAAACACACGAAAGGGTGGTCCCCCCAAGCCCAAGAAGCAACCCTAATTGCTTCTTGCAGAAGCAAAGCAGTAACGTCATTTGGGAAGGCCTGCTGATGTCAGCGCCGTACAATTTCATGAATGAATGCCGGAAGGAACGCACAAACCGGGTGGATTTCGCCTTTGCGGGTCAAGGAAAACACCACGCACTTCTCAGGGAAAAAAAAAAAAAAAAGCCATGATCTAAAACTCACTGCATCCGACTCGGATGGCGAACTTACCCAATCACAATGAGCCCCAGACTCTGCTCTATGTCCCACAGGCCGGGCCCGGAGCCTCGAGGCCTGGGCACCACGGTGCGGTGGCTCCC